CGAACGTGTAAGACATCGAAAGTTGTAAGATTGCAAGTGGTTATAAGTTGCAGATAAGATCTTCACGGCGAGTGTTTGAAATTCTTTTGTGAGTTCGATGCACCATCAGGTAAAGATATTCAATTCTTTTTATTGTGATTTTACATATGTATTTACTGTTCAGAAGAGCGGGAAAGTGACATAAAATTTTGAAGTGGTGATCGAGAGGGCGGAGGATTCCAATTTCATCGAATATTTTGTGATAACGCCAATCCACCACATTCAAAACGTCGACATCTGCAATATAGCCAAAAACTATCAGAGAAGAATTAGCTCTTCTACACTCTTCTTCATTACATTTCTTTCTTCACTTTATTTCTTTAAATGCTCGACAGTTTCTAGAAACGTTGTCATTTCTAGAAGGCACACATTCTTATCTGTCATATAACGATTAGTTTCACCTCACTTTTATTTATCAGACATTGTTTACTACCTTCCATGTCCATATCGGACAAATAATGTGTTCCAGTATCTATTCATGTAATCATGTATACGTAGCTAAAAAGGAATGAAACGATTTAAAAAAAAAACCCTGCTTCATTTGGGACTAGATACATATATAAACATCATGTACGTTGTTTGTCTGTATCATTGAATAAAATTTCAGTGTACTAATATCGTTTATGTAACTTTTAATATAAGAATTAATTATTAATATATACATTTCCTTTCTCTAATTAAAGAACGTGATGAATATCGAAATTGCAGTTGCCCAGAGGCTGTACATAGAAATACTTACGGTAATAAGTCTACTTACTTCTTTTATTTACATTATAGTACTCTCGTTAACGAATGCCGCAAGCAATAACGAGAAATGCCAGAAATGTCAGAAAATCCGTCTTTGTGCAAAATGGCATAAGACATTTCATTTTGATATTATTGTAGCGTCCGTTCCGACGCGAAGTTCTCTCAGTGGTAACCAACGATTGAATATTCTATAGATTTCTGGACAATAAATAGAGTTTCCGTCATAAATAGAGTCCTGAATCCAGTGTGCCCGTGTCTCTCGAAATGGTAAACGTGTTACATTCCATGTAATTGTTCCACATACTAATCACATCTATAAACACTAGTAAGCAGTAGTATATAAGATTTTGTAAATTAGTAATTATAACAATTTCATTCAAAGTAGTGCGATACCTGAAGTCTTTCCTTGCAATTTCAATTTTGTGCAACTTTAATTCTAAATGTATTCAGGATTTCAAGTTTTCATTTGTAGTATTAAAGCAATATATACACCACTATAATTATAATTTGTTTAAATAAATCGGACGAAGATTTATTATTCTCTTTTTCAACTATTTCAGTCTTCATTGAAAGAGATTTATATCAAGCAAATCGAGATAGATCTGAGAAAAGTATAATACGAATTTCAATAATAAGTATAAAGCTTAACACAGTTAATGACTAAAAGCATTTAAATATTATGAAATATACTATTCTAAGCATATATTAATACTTATTCAAAATTTTAGTGAAAATTTGAATATGTTTGTTTCTCTAAGCAGTATTTTGGTATACGCAAGAAACATCATTATAATATAGTTTGACACAATTTGATACAAAACTGTAATATAACAAGCAAACAACATATATTCAATTGCGTATAAGAATGCCACAAATATTTCATAAACAGAAATGAATAAAGATTTTGTAGTACATGAACACAATGTAATTCTATAACAGTATATGTACAATTAAATTAACTATCAATATTAGGGGTACTCATATATAATGTTGCTCCTTGAGATTATACAAAATTTTATTTTATTTAAAATATTTTT